AGTGAAGATATTCTAAGCCGATTACGACCTCTGCTGCATAAAACCTGATGACAGAGATTGATTAGAATAACTCATAACTGCAGATCTAATAATGACAATGGGATTCATTGCCTTTATCAGTTATCCGAGTAACTGTTAACTGAATGATTGATAGAAGATGATATGTTTTCTAACATAGTGCCAATATTTAGTCAAAACATCACCATGAGATATTCCGTTACACCATTATATTTGTACACTGAGGAAAACAGGGTACCTTGCAGAGTCCTCTGTCAATATTTTCATAGGTTGTCTGTCAAGCAGTGCAAACAACTCTCCACCTGGGCAGAAGTCTGTAATCAAACAAACGTGTGTAGATGTCTGCGGAAAGAAAAAAACACTTCAGCCATGAAGCAGAAGAACTGACATGATGCAAACAAAATTAAAACATCTACCTGAAAAGAAGCGTAGAGAGTGGGAAGGAAAGGATGATCCAGAAGGGAAATGATCTCCCTTTCGATGCATGCTCGGTGAGCCTGCATAAAGCTGCATGTTGTCAAGGAGAGAAATAATATAAATGGTGAATTATTCAGCTTTCCCTCTCTAAAGGAAACTCATTCTCCATCATATACCTTGTTACGATTCAACATCATTGCTTTCTCCATTGCTTTCATGGCATATAATTCACCTGTACCCTTCAGCTCAACCAAATGAACACTATTTTTCCAACCAAAAAACAAAAAATCAATCATATACGTAAAAGGAGATTTAAAGGCAGTTGAAATTCAAGTTTACTGTTATGGACACAATGCAATGTCTTACCTGCCAGTATCACCAGAGCCCAGCGGTTTTATTGGTTTAAAATGATGTAGTCCCACTGTTTCTCCACCCGCTTGGATCTACAAAGGAGACTATCGAAATAAGAACAGGATGACAGAGAAACCAAGTAAGAAAGTAATGTGGTTTGATGCATGCCTTTTTTATTGCTTTCCAGGACGTACTCTCCTTATTGTGAGGTAGAGGATAGACAGGCTTCGAGTGTGCAGCCCACAGGTCCTCGGGCCGCTATAATACATTGCAAATTGATCGCATTTATACTTTTACATCTTTGTTAAATAATCATGAATTAATATACCTTACCGTATTAGCATCTGGAAGTTCTCTGACAGCTTCATCTACATTTGTGGCTGTAGCTTTCACCTAAAATTATAACCAATGTGAGTGTCTCCTTTGTTAGAAAAGAGAATTAAAATAAGTGCAGTAGGAGATGAACCACTTACCAATTTAGAACTTTGTATCTCTGTTCTCTCAGACAAACGATTTTGGAGGGGCTCTACATGATCACTTCCATCAAGCTGCACACCGATGAAGTATTGAAGCTCTCCCTAATGATGAAAAAATTCATGTAGTCAGAAACAATGCATGGTGTTATCCAAAGAATCTGAATATATAACAATAATCTCATGGCAACCTTTTGATCACGCATAGGTTGCAAGTGGAATAAATTCCAGAATTTCTTTCCTGCAATGGTTTCAAGTTTTGATGACACATCCGAATAGAAAGTTTTAAATATGATCGTTTGAAATTGTTCAGTATCCGAAAACTACCGCTTTTAGTGTAGTTTATCAACTGCACAGTTATCTCCGTCTGGTCTCTAATTGCGTCTCTTATCTTCTGGACAGTCGCTTGATCTGTCTCTGGCCCCTGAAGAAACCTGAAGCCAACCACTTTGCACATATCCATATCACGAAACAACAAAAACACAGCCGGAGAAGACCGCACAATCAACAGGTTTGATGAATCTCATAAGTAATAGATACAAAAAGAAGAATATTCACATACCGACAATTTCTCCCCAAAATTTCCTCGCGTGTATACTCTGTCAGTTCAAGAAAGCTGTCTGATGCAAAAATCTGCAAATAAAACGATTTCCATTATCAATTCAAGACTATATGCTTACAAACATAGTAGCACACTTGAGTAAAAAAAAATTAATATATGCAACATACTCTATAATTGAAAAAAAACATGCATCTCAATTTTAGACAGAAAAAAAACATACAATGGGATTATCAGGGAGACGAGGATCACTGATGACGAAATTTTTCTCTATGCGCTCAAGAGTGGTAGCTAGATCAATCCCTTGGCGTATATCCCTTTCTCTATCTGATAGGTCCCAACTGTCCCTCTGCCCTATTACTTCTGTGCTCAACATCAATTCTTCAGGTTCCATACGTAAGAGATCTTCATGCTTGTTACTAGAGCTTTTGAGCTTCGTCCTGCACATTACACGAGGCAGGATCACAAATCATTGAGTGCATTTATATATATATGCACAGCTTCAGAATTCACTACCCAATCCATGTCAGAGGATACATTCTAAGGCCCAGCACAAAGTTACCAAAGTATACAAGAAATAAGTAACAGAACAATAGCAGGATATTGCAGCAACTGCATCTTCCTATTGGAATGGACATTATCTATGAGTTAAATATTGAGCTTACACTACACAAACTCAATCTCAATTAAAACTAGAATGAGATTGTGTAGTATATATTTAAACACTATTTGGCAATGATAATAACAAGTTGTTTCTGCAAACTTTGGCACTTCCATCACACTTTTGTTAGCAATAGAAATGCCTTTTAAGTATTTTATGTTTAGGGAAACTACTGTGATCTGGTGGTTAAAGGGACTCACCCTGTTGGAGTAGAAACACGTCCAGGTGTCCTGAATGACTTTGAAGCCTCATCTGATTGTCTATTTTGTCTACCAGGTGTAGTAGAACTATCAGGCGTCACCATATTACTATTGCTCACGGATTCCTGAACTTGAGACTTGCGATGTCTTATTGTCTGCACAACCTCTGTGATGGAATCCAAAGCTTTCTCCTTCTGGCGAGCTGATATCATCATAAAAACCATTACATGTTAGAGATTGTGGATCAGCACTCCAAAAATCATTGTGTTCTTTTCTTTTTGGGCTAAATTACATCATTGTTTTTGGCTAAAAAATGAATTTGTGGAGAGATGCAGAAAAACAGATACCATCATATCGAATCAAGGATTTGGAGAGTCCATTAGGCCTCAATACTTTATCATTTACCCCTTCTGTGTATTTGCTAACTTCAACCTGCATCCTGCAGATGGAAATGTGAAAATGATTGATCGAGGAGACAGTCGATTGATTAGGGAAAAACAGGGAGGAATTAAGGGAGGTACCCAATAAACTTGATGGTGTTTCCTTGGTCGTCCTTGATAGGAGTGACTGTGAGAAGATTCCAGAAGGGTGTTCCGTCCTTTTTGTAGTTTAACAGCCTTCCACAGTAACTCTTTCCATTCTTGACACAATCTCTGATTTTGGCAACCTCATTCTTGTCAGTGTCTGGCCCTTGCAGAAACCGGCTGGTGTTTTACCCACAAATATTAAGAGCATTTCAGAGTAAGTTGGCATGGGTTTCAAAAGCAATATTATTCTAACTAACAATTGGGAAAGAAACTAGAAAAAATATACGAGAGGAGCCGTACCAGTTTCTTCCAACAATTTCCTTGGAAGAATAACCAGTCATGGTGAAGAATCCACTGCTGGCATACACTATGGGACAGTGTGGTTGTGTGGCGTCAGAAACAACAAAAGTCTGCTGCAACGTGGAAAGAGCGGTTTTGAGCTCCTGGGATACTCTAGGGAAGGCCCCTGATTCAGAAGATGTTGATTCTTCGGAAGACCTCCTAGACATGTTCTTGCTTCGTTCCGCTTCACTGGACACCTTGAAACTAATGCCATCTTCTCCGGAGTCCGGCTTAATAGCTGATATTCCCCATTCAGCGGTTCTTTCAGTCATCTTAGCGGAATCTTGAAACTCCATCCACTTACTACTGCTGCCTTTGCTTTTGCCATCAAGAGGCGGCTTTAACGAAGAAGAAGTTGATCCATGTGTCTCTTTTCCACTCTGAGGGTTGAAAATCTCAAGGGATCTACGTTCAGTTAATGGCTCCGTATCATTCAAGGGAGATGGAGGGGCTCTTGGCCTCTCCATAATGTTTCTTGATTCTCCTTCTTTTGGCGAAACAGAGTAATGAATAAGCTGCAAACCAAAACCAGCCACCAAAGAGACAAGTTAGATAGAAAGATGAGGCAGACACACCTGTAGGTTCGAGAAACAAGTAATAAATGACATTAAAAGTCTTTGGAAGCAAATCAACAAAACACGTTAAAGAAGGAGAAGTTAATGAAACTAAAAGTTTTTCCTAAAAGAAAAAAAAAAAATACCAGAGTAGCTTTATCAGCTGCAACTCATGGAAATATAGTACAGAGTCTTTAAAAGGAGCAAAGACGATGAGAAAACTTTGAGAGAAAGATAGACCAATTAAAAAACACAACTGTACTGTATCCAAAACCCAGTTATATTATTATTTGAGCTATAAAAAACAATCATGTTTCTGAGGCTGCAAATGAGCGATGCGGAAGCCTGGGAGGATAGACATCACTATCAATAATCAAACTCACATGGACCCTTTTTTTCTCACCCTCTCAAAGGACCACACACTCTGTTTCCCCTTAATACGTGCACTCTTGTTCATCATTCCTCTTCTTTCACAAATTTTCTTCATAATCAACAACGAATTTAATACACCCCCTCACGTCAATTTCCCAGTACAATAATAATTCAGACATGTTTCAATGTAAAAAGAAAAACAATAAATAGATAAAACCCAGTAAACTTACGATTGTAGTAGAACATGCGCCATGGTTTTGATTAGACGGAAGATGAACACGTTTCAGAAAATGACTGTGTGTCTTCTCTCCCAGATGCTTTCGCAGACGACGAATCCACTATTTGTTTCTTCTTTCACAGTCTGTTTCAAATAATGTCGATGAAATTAAAGCCAAGGGAGGGACCCCTAAAACCTTATCAGGCCCTTTTTTATTCCCGCTAAAAGCCCATTAATTAATACTGGGCCTTTTTTTCTAATGGGCCTTATTTCGTTAAGATGTAAGAAAAGTGAGGGGGACGAGGGAAAAAACTGAATCCCACTGAAGCAGCAATGGAGGAAAAAAGCAGCGGCGGCGGCGGCGTTAGGCTTCACGTCGGCGGATTGGGAGAAAGCGTCGGGAGAGATGATCTTCTCAAGATCTTTTCTCCGATGGGTACCGTCGATGCCGTTGAATTCGTCAGGACCAAAGGTCGTTCCTTTGCCTACGTCGACTTCTCTCCCTCCTCTACCAATTCCCTCACCAAGCTCTTCTCCACGGTGAGTGAATTCGATCTCTCTCTCTTTCTCCTTACTCTTGTGTCTCTTTTAGTCTTAACTCTAATTCGATTTTGGCAGTATAATGGATGTGTGTGGAAAGGAGGGAGGCTACGACTGGAGAAAGCAAAAGAGCATTATCTGGCTCGCTTGAAGCGAGAGTGGGAGGCAGCGTCTTCTACCTCTGATAACACCATTAAAGCTCCCTCCGATTCAACACCTTCCACTCACCTTAACATCTTCTTTCCCAGACTCAGAAAGGTACTACTGATGCTCCTTCACAGTCTTGACATTTACATGATATAGTAGTACTAGGAGTAGGAAGAGATTAGGGTTTGAGCTACCTGTGTCTGGTGCAGGTGAAAGCTATGCCACTTACTGGAACTGGTAAACATAAGTATAGCTTTCAGCGTGTTCCACTGTCCTCTTCTCTTCCTAAGAGCTTTTGTGATTGTGAAGAGCACTCTAACAACTCTCTCACTCCTCGGGAAACACATCTTCAAGATCTGGAATCGCTTAATGTGGGAAGAAATGAAGACGAGGTGAATGTTATGAATTCGGTGATGAATAAGCTCTTTGAGAAAAACAACATTCCAATCGCCGAAGAAGACAATGAGATTGAAGCAGACCAAGATAACCTCATCATCAATGTGGCATCTAGTGGGAACGATATGGACTCAGAGCTGGATAAGTTGTCTAGAAAACGGGTACTTAGACTTGCTAATATTTTTCTATTTTACTCAACTCAACAATGAGTCATCTACCCTATCCCTGATCTGGCTCTTTCTTTTATTGTAACTTAGAAATCAATTCTCAACGAAACAACACCAAGTGGAGAAGGATATAGTGAAGGACGAAAAGGGAACCACATTCATCCAAGTAAAAAAAGGCAAACAATCAGCCTAGAGGAAAGTGGGAGACAGGAATCTTCACAGTCAATACGTGAAAAGAAGAAGCCTTCTAAAGTGGTACCGGATAAATCATTGGATGAACCGAGCAGAACAACAGACGTCAAGCAGTCGATCGACAATATTTCCTGGTCCCAAAAGTCTTCCTGGAAATCACTAATGGCCAATGGAAACAGCAGTGATTTTAGTGTATCCAGTTTCTTGCCAGGTGTTGGCTCCAGTAAAGCAGTACAACCTGCACCACGCAACACTGATCTTGCTGAGCTTCCTAGCCGAGAAAATTCGAAGGAAAAGACGAAAAGAAAGCGCGTAACTTCTACGATCATGGCAGGGGATTTACCTGTGCCAGATGACATAAAGAGGGATGATAGTGACACTATGGTAGATGACATAGAGAGGGATGTTAGTGCTGCTGTGGAAGATGACGCAGCTAATGACTCTGTGGCTGAGAGCGATGATAGTGATGCTGTGGAATGTGACACAGCTATTGACTCTATGGCTGATGACACAGCTAGTGACTCTATGGCAGATGATGCAGCTAGTGACGCTGTGGCTGAGAGTGATGATAGTGATGCTGTGGAATATGACACAGCTATTGACTCTATGGCAGATGACACAGCTAGTGACTCTGTGGCAGATGACACAGCGAATGACGATGTAGGTTCAGACGACTCAGAGTCACTTGCAGATACTGTTATTGATACAAGTGTTGACGCTGTACCCCTGGATTTTGTTGCAAACACCGAGGGCGATAGTGGGAACGGCAAGTCGAATGTGGAAAAGCATGAAAATGGAGCAGAGGATATGAATGCGGAAAAGGGAAGCTTAGTCGTGAAGGAAAATGTTGTAGACGAAGAAGAGGCAGGGAAAGAACCGGTGAAAGCTTGTAACAAGTCAACAGGAGGTTCTTCATGGCTTCAGAAGGCCTCATGGACTCAGCTGGTTAGCGACAAAAATACCTCTTCATTCAGTATAACTCAACTCTTCCCAGATTTAAGTTCTGACAAGGGCGAACCAGCTGGAGTGATCAACAGTGTAGAACGCCAGTCTCACAAGACTGCAAGTGCAATGAAACAAACAGATTACACATGTAGCAGCGGTGGTTTTGTGGCTGCGGGAGTCCCTGTGGCTAGTACCCCTGTGAGAAGTTTAGATGAGAATCGGCATCATCTGAATGGTAAAAATTTGAGTGAAGGAGGTAGATTGGGTGCGAAGAAGATAATTAAGAGAAAGGTTGTGTCGGGGGACACTTGCACTTTTATGAGAAGCTCGACTTCTTTGAAAGAGTGGGCAAAGGCTAAGAAAGCATTGAGTGAGCCCAGGAGAAAGAAAAATGGTGAAGACTGAGTTAGATTGTAATAAGATGAGAGGCTCTTCAAATTATGTATTCCTCTACAATTTTTGACTTTTTGATAAAATACAATGCTTTTTTACTTTAAGGTTTTAACAAACACTTCTATAAAAGGATATCTCATTAGATAAAAATCTGATTGATGAATAGAACTTTGACAGTCAACAAGCATGTGGATACAGAAAAGCGTAAGATGCAATGTTTTACAAAGTTCTTGTTACTAATTGAAAATGGCTGAATTGAAAGATAAATAAGGAGCCAATCCCTCCCTATCTATCTTTGAGTTCCTGTTCAAACTGGCCGAGTTTGAGGCGTATAGGCTCCAAGAACTGCTTCATATCCAACCTAATCCGCTGCTTCAGCTGCTGGGAAAGATCCTTGTCTTCACTGAGCTTCACATCCACCTGCCCATTTGCAAAAGGTATCACCATCCAGAGACTTAAACATTCTTCCCAAATCAAATCAAATCAAAGTCTCTACATTTTATCTAAACTACAAACAGAAAGTTCCTCTCAAGATTCTCCGTAGTAACATGAAAAAATGTTACCTCAAGATCATCAAGCTCGCCAAATGAAAACTCTGGAATCTCGAGGCTCCCCCTCACCTTCTTCATATTCTCTTCAAATGACCACTCTCCTAAGAAAATCGCCATAGTAAGCAAATAAGTTGAATTTACATGAACACAAAGTCAATGAAAGTTCCTAACTCATCAAGGATAAAACTCAAATGCACCACATCCTCATCTAAACGACTACATTCAATGAGAATGTAGGCAAAAGGTCTTAAATTTTATCAACACAAATAAAGTAAAAGATTATAGTCTTTAAAGCAGTGGGATAAGTCTTACCCTCAACTTTAAGGGAAAGCTCGTAAGTATAGCCAACTCTTTTCTTGTTCCGAACTGTGACTAAGAAAGCCTAGCGAAGCAGAGGAAGGAGGAGTCATCAAACCAAGAACAAACATAGAGAACACAAAAACCAAAAAAGAAGAAAACAACTCACATCTCCAACGCATCTGTTAACATCTTTAATCTCAGCTTTTCCAGAAGAGAATTGCAATGAACCCACTGATCCCAACAGCTCCTGCAAGCACAAATTTCAAGTACCAAAAGATATCAAATTAGCAAGAGAGAAGCAAACAACAACAAAAAAAAAACAGAGTGATAGAAAAGAAAGAAGAAACCTTTAATCGGTCAGTGGCCCATTTGGTGAGACTTTTCTCCTCCCAAGTGCCAGCCTATGGAAGAAACAAGAGAGAAGAGTAAGAGAGAGCAAAGAAGAATGGTAACACGAGTTTAACAGATCAAACCGTAAAAATAAGCAAACCCGATTCCAGAGAGAGCCAAGGGACGCAGGAGCTGCATTGAGAGCGACGTCGTTGTTGCTGAGCTTCTGTGGCAGAGGAGGAGGAGCTGCGTCTGAGGTGGCTTCTCTCACCCAGTATCTATACGATGAGCCCTCTTTCTTCTTCTCCTCCTCTCTCTCCATGACTTTACTCTCTCTCTCTCTCTCTCTCTGTCTCTCCCCTCACTCTCCTCTTCTCATTCAATTTAGGGCTCCTCCGATGTCTCTCCGGAAGTTTCCACAGATCCAAATTTTTTATTATTTTCTTTCGAGTCTTTGTTTGTGTTTTATATTCCAAGATTGACGATTGGATTAAATGATGTTGTTGTTGTCTTTAAAGGGCCCACTGTTGACCCAAACACTGGTTCTTTCATTCTTGTCTTATTAATCCCAAGTTCAAGTACTGTACTAAATTCTACAGTTGCAATTTGCAGTAACGAATCAGATTCAGATCACAACAATTCTTGCTCAAGTAAGATACATAAGAGTCTCAGAAAGGGACCAAAAAAACTTGTATGGGAATTTTGGGTTAGATTTTAGACATCAGTTGATCTTTGGCTTAGGAGCTCTTGGCCTTAAGACAGCGTAAAGAAGGATCAAAACTATGATAAAGGCAGGGATAGTGGTCATGTCCACTTCTACTTTCACCTTCCTCTCTTTTGTGCAGTGAATTGGATGCAAAACCCCCACTGTTGCATTCACTTCCCTTACGAATCTGATAAAATGAATAGCCTACTTGATTAGCAGCAAATTATTCTTTTAAAAAACTGTAGCGAGAAGGGATAAATGTATACTTACGAGCTAGTAGCTTCCTCTAAGGTATGCAGAAATCTCATGGCATCCCCATATCGTGTTTCTCCCGCAACATTCGAAAGCTGTTAAACATATAGGATACACATCATTTGAAGCATTCCAGTAACACAAAGACTTCATAACCATAGAAAGCAAACTACATGAACACATGTATACTCACTCGTCTCCACAGGCTAACCACGTACTTGTACTTGTTCATCAGCTCACGTTCCCTTGAATGGAAGAGCTTAAACGTTTTTTTATCTTGTTTCTGAGTCAAGGATATTAAAACTAGCATATAAAGATGAACAGGTAAAAAAACCTCTTCATATTTCAAATTCAAAACCTCTACTGTTCTGCAGGCATAAAACATAAATAAAAAATCTCCCCAGGATACTCGTTCTCTCCAGCCGCAGAAGATGGATCCCTGAATTGACTGCTTGTATTGATTCTTCAAGCGCCGTAATCATATAACTCCGGGCAATTGTGTCAGACTGAAACTGTGAAAGGAGCCAACCTTGAGAAGTGACGGAAAAGGGATTGCAACCTACTGACCATGTCCAGTCCTGTGAAACACAATTTTTAAAGGATGCTAAGACAGATTATCAGCTTCTTTATCTGGAGAGTTTTAATCAGAGTTTGTGCTGGATTCACAAGATTGCAGTAGTTACCAGTAACAGGATGATATTCATGGAACTACAAAGCAGCGCTATTTAGAATCATCTAAGCATAATTCTATACCTCAATTGCACTTTCATGCGCTACACTGTAGACGAGATGAAGAGGAAGCAATCCGGCTAGATGTTCAGCAACAGAAGCCATGGCTGCTTTCACGGGGCTCCTATGTTATAAAGATGAAGGAATAAGGAAAAACTCCCTCACGACGAGCAAAATTTAACTAGGAAAGTATCATAAAATTTCTGCTAATAATAAGCTGCTAACATGTATCTGTTATAACCTTAGATCCCATAACAGTGATCGCCCGTTGCATTGCAAATGGCTCTCCCATGAAGATGCCTCCGACTGAACAACAACAACCATGTTTGATAGCGCCTTTGCTTGATAATGCTTGTCAATCAGCAGCGGATCACCACTGATGAGCCAAAAGATAGGAATTTCAAGAGTGGACCTGCTGTGGGCATGACCTCCTGAGTTATATACAAGGGTACTTACAGCGTTAATGCCAATCATGATGTATCAACATCAACCAATGCATGACATCCAGTAGCAAATAACTTGACAAAAGTTGCATAGGATGCGAATAAAGACACCTGAAGTGAAATGCTGAGCAGTAGGATAAAACCAATCGCTCAAATGGATCAAGTCTAAACGAAGACAGCAGTATAAAGATATCACAAACTTTAGGAAAGTAAATAATACAGTAGTTCAGATCTTATGCAGTTTTCTTACTACGGTGTACTACCTTAGGACAAAAACTTGAAAGACATGTAAAACAGAGAACAGTTCTCAACATTATTCATCTATATAGATGTGTGATCTATAGTGTCTACATCAATATACAAATTTAGCAGACAAATGGAACACCAAATCACTTAAAACTGGTAGCAGATAGTTTCTAGTTTAGTATCAAGGAAAGGCTTCTTTCATGACTACAACGGTGCCACAACAAAAGAGATGAATGGTAACAATTTAAAAAAAAAACTACTTAACAGAGCGAGAGTTTCTGTTGTTAGCTGACCTTTAAGGGAAGTGTGATCGTTCACCCTCTGTAATTGGTACTGGAGGATTGATGAATCAAGATATGAACGAACAGTCTTTCGGTAAGTTCCATTGACAAGCAATAGAGGGACAGCTGCTGCCCTTCGGGCTACTGAAAAAGCCATAGCCAATGCAGGATCCTCAGAGAGTGTTAACCTATCACAATTGTTATTGACAATTCAATATAGCTCGGAGTTGCATACAGAAATCAGAGGGGGAAAATATCACCTAAGAATAATAAATATGTTTCTATCTTTTTTGGGGCCAGGAAAATCTACTAAATTCAAGCTCTAACCACAGTTTGAGATACAGTTTATCAAAGAGGGTCAGAAAGATCAAGCATATCAGTGCATACATATGCTGGCTGAACATAGGCTTCTGAGAAGGAAACAACAGCGAAGAAAGCCCATCCATGAGGGCCTTGAGATCCACCGGCAGCTGTTTGATTTGTCGAACTTTCTACATCAATAAAATTACAGAGTGACGACCTCTTTTCAGCATATAGATAGAAACTAGATTGAAAAACTGTAGGCAATGCTATTGGTAGGATGAAGTAAAATGATTGGTAGCAATAGTATATCATTCTCAAACATAAATTACATAATCTTTCGAAAAGAAAGAACAAAAATGTATTCCATAATGTAACGTTTCATTCATCCCATGACATGTCTTTATCCTTGAGACTTTTAGATTCTAAGATTAATCATAGTTTTTACCAAAATATGGTTAACCTGATGGGAAATCTTTTAGACCATTTGACAAGAACATACCTCTTGGGTGATGAAGACAAGCTGAAAAGAGATCTTCTCATAATGATGAAATGCACCATCAGCAACTGAGGGGGATATTATATGTCTCATGGATCCCCAGAGAGTAGCACCTAAATGTGCAAGAAAAGTATCGCGTGCAACTGTGTAATTTTGGAACTCCTGTGCAATCGACATCACGATGCAATGTGTCACATTTTCAAACCAGCAAGGAAAATGAAGCATAATGATTCCAATCCCCTTACTGAAAGAATTATCAAACCAGCAAGGAAGATTGCAGCAGAAGACAAAAAGACTGGCGTGGGACCAAGAAAATACCTCATGTTCATCACTAAACAAATTCCAGCTCTCCATTCGTCTTAGTGCATCCATGGCTTTTCTCTTGTGGGTCTCATCATATTCCTCTCCGTCAAATGACTGGAGCTCGGTTTTTAGATCCCGCATTCTTTCATCAAGTTCTTGGACACGTAAAACGAAGA